AAACAATCCCATTTTCCCTAGCTACAAATAAAACAACATGAAATACCCAGGAATACATTTGTATAAAAAATGCTCTACAATGAAGACCACAAAATACTGATGAAAGACCTACAAAACATTGAAGAAATTGGAGTTTCTCTATCAAAATGCAAACGACATGTTTGCGTCGCTATAAAGGAATACTGGAGACTGGGTAGTTTATAAAGAAAAAAGGTTTATTTGTTTATTTGGCTCAGGGTTCTGTGCAGGAAGCACGATGTCAGCATTTGTTTCTGGTGAGGGCCTCAGGCTGCTTCTACTCATGGTGGGAGACCAAGGGGATCCTGTGAGAGCACATGGCGAGAAAGGGAGGAGGGGAGTGGGAGGGACATACAAGGCTCTTAGGAATAAGAGTCTAATAGGTAGCCGGGCGTGGTAGGGCGTGCCTGTAGTTCCAGCTAGTTGGAAGGCTGAGGCGGAAGGATCGCCGGAGCCCAGTGGGTCGAGGCTGCAGTGGCTGGAGGCGGCCACTGCACTCCAGTCTGGGCGACAGAGTGAGACTCCAACTCAAAAAAAAAAAAGAAGAGTCTAATAGAGAGAGAGAGCTCACTCAATGCTGCAAAGACTACACCAAGACATTCATGAGGGGTCCTCCCTGACTACCCGAACACCTCCCGTCTCCAACCCTGAGGATCAAATTTCAGCATGAGACTTGGAGGAGACAAATATCCAAGCTATTTGAACATCTTTCACAGAAAAAGAAAAACATAATCCTAAAATGTTTGTAGGACCACAAAAGACTCTGAATAGCCTAAACAATGAAACTAAATCCCTATCTCTCACCCTATAAAAAAATCAAATCAAATTTGATTAATTACTTAGATGTGAAGACTTGAAACCATGAAACTACTAGAATAAAACGTTGGGAAAATTCTTCAGGACATTAGTCTGGGCAAAGATTTTTTTGGGGGTAGGACCTCAAAAGCATACACAACAAAAGCAAAAATAGACAAATAAGATTATATCAAGCTAAAAAACTTCTTACACAGCAAGAAGACAACAGAGAGAAGAGACAACTTATAGAATAGAAGAAAATATTTGCAAACTATTCATCTGACAGGAAATTAATAACCAGAATATATAAGGAACTCAAACAATAGCAAAATAAAAAGCAAACACTTAAAAAATGGGCAAATGATCTGAATAGACATTCCACAAAAGGAGACATACAAATGGCCAACAGATACATAACAATATGCCTAATATCCCCACTAATCATCTGGGAAATGTAATTCAAAACCACAGTGAGATATCATCTTACCCCAGTTAAAATGGTTATTATCACAAGGACAGAACAACAAATGCTGGCCTGAATGTGGAGAAAGAGGAATGCTAGTGCACTGTTGATGGAAATGTAAATTAGTACAATCACTATGGAAACACTATGGAAGTCTTCAAAAAGCTAAAAATAGATCTCATATGACCCAGCAATCCCAATATTGAGTATACAGACAAAAGAAAGGAAATTAGTGTATTGAAGAGATATTTGCACTCCCATATTTATTGCAGCACTATTCATAGTAACTAAGATATGAAAACAACCTAAATGTTCATCAATGGATGAATGAATAAAGAAAGGTTTGGTTTAGATACACAATGGAATATTATTCAGCCATGAAAAAGAATATAATTGTATCATTTACAACAACACGAATGAATCTGGAGGTCATTATGCTTCACAGAATAAGCCAGGCACATCCTGGCCAGTATTTATTATTTCTTTGCAGTGGTGCAATTAAACTCACTGCAGCCTCAGACTCCTGGGCTCAAGTTATCCTCTTACCTCAGCCTCCCATGTTGCTGGGACTATAGGCATGCACCCCCGTGCCTGGCTAATTTTTTTTTTTTTTTTTGTAGAGATGGGACTTGCATTGTTGCCTAGACTAGGCGACTCCTGGGCTAAAGTGATCCATTTGACTTGGCCTCTCAGTGTGCTGGGATTACAGGCATGAACCACCATGCCCAGTTGGTTTTTAAAACTTGTCTAAAAAGATTTAGTGACATAGTCAAAAGAGAATTGGTTGACTCTGAATATAAACAATGTTTGAAACATGAGGAATTAGGGGTATCTAAATCAGTACATCTAATAGTTTGAGAATGGATTTATAAAGGAATGAGATAGAAGCAGCTACTCATAAATATCCAGAAAAATCACAAAAGTTTAATTTTGGGATGGGAACACACAAATGTTTCATTCAAGCATACAAATATATAGGACAAAAGTGTGTGTATGAATCATTTTACATTTTAATAAAATTTTGTTTTATTTAAAGCACAAAACCTGAAAGAAAAAGATTAATTCAAAATGAACCAATGGTCTGAATATGGGAGCTAAAACCATAAAACTCTTAGGAGAAAACATAGGAATAAATCATCATCATCTTGAATTTGGCAATGGATTCTTACAGATGACACAAAAAGCTTAGGCAACAAAACCCAAAATAGGCAAATGGGACTACATGAAACTTTAAAACTTCTGCACATAAAATAAAATACTAAAAAGCAAACCTTTGAAATGGGAGAAAATATTTGCAAATCATATATCTGACAAGAGGTTAATATCTAGAATATGTAAAGAATGACTATAGTTCAACAACAATAACAACAATAACAATAACAGAACCCAATAAAAAGTGGGCAAAGAAATATACATTTCTCCAGGGATGATATCCAAATGACCGCAAAACAGATGAAAAGATGCTTAACATCATAAATCATTAGAGAAATACAAATTAAAATCAAGATGAAATATCACCTCATAATCATTAGGATGGCCACTGCAAAAAACAGAAACAAACAAACAAAACAGAAAATAACAAATGCTGGTAAGGATGTGAAAGGTGTGGGCAATTGGAACCTTTGTGTACTGTTGGTGGGGAGGTAAAATGATACAGCTGCTATGACATTTCTTCAAAAAATTAAAAATAGAATTGCCATGTAACCTAGCAATTTGACTTCTGGGTGTATATATCCAAAAGAATTGAGAGCTGGAGGGGAGATCCAAGATGGCCTCTGTGGAGCAGCAGACTGGTGCCTCTCACTGAGCAAGAAATTAACTCAAAATGAAGAAATGACTTAAATATGGGAGTAAAACCATAAAACTCTTAGGAGGAGGCATACAAATAAATCTTAATCATCTTGGATTTGGCATTGGGTTCTTATATATGACACAAAAACCTTAGGTAACACAACTAAAAGTAGGCAAAGGGGACTATCTAAAACTTGAACACTGAACATCAAATAAAACCATTAGTGGAGTAAAAAGGCAAAGAGTAGGTACCTAGCCACCAATAGTGGAGACACTTCAGACACTTTTGGATGGGGGAAGCACCCTGCACCCAGCAAAGGCCTCTTTGGACATGGAGAGCAGAAAACAATGGCAGATGCTGGAATCCAGGTGCCCCATCTTCTTCTGTGCACCAGGCTCACACAAAAAATGAAGCCTTGCCCAGCAAATGAAAGTGGATGAGTGAACCAAAGACACTCTGGGATGATTCACCCCCTCTCAGTCATGCATGGGTCATCAGTCTCTTGTGGGAGGAGTCCTGGGCAGGACACAGAAGCAGGCAACCTCAGCCCAAGCAGAACAGGAAAAAACCCCACACTGGGTGGCACATGGGTGGGGAGGGCCGCCCTGCAGAGTAAATCTGGCTGGTGTGCATTGCCAGTGGCTGTTGGCCATCTCCTGGCCGGACAGGAAGAAACACCGCCAAACCCTACATCTCTACAGGGCCGAGCCTGCCCCTTCCTCTGCAGCAGATAACTCATTCTATTTCAAAAGTAAAGTGCAGACCTGAGCAGGGAAGGAGGAACATGAGTAAACTTCAGACAGCAGAGGGGAGACTCATCCTCCCACTCACTGTCTGAGTGCAAGCAGTGGGGGTTGAAAGCTGGTCTGACAAGTTTAGCAGTGGGAGAGAAAATCCACAGAAACAGAAAACCTCCACAAGGCAGAGCAAGGAATATAAGTGAATGTCCCTCCCTCTCTCACTGAGTGACAAATATTGAACCACAGAAAGGATCCTAGAACAGAGGGTAATTGATTAGCTTCAGACCAACAAATCAATAGAGGAATTACAGAGAGCGAAGAACAGCCTGTCACAAGTGAGAAAAAAATTGATGAAAGATACAGGCAGCCCTCAAAGTCCTAAAGAGATAGCACCCCAAAAGGCAGCTATTAGAGTACAAACAATAGAAACCTCCCAGAATGAACAGCCCTAGATGACAGCTACAGAAATCAGAGATTGGATGGCAAAAAATAAACTAGAAGGGGAACTCACTGAAGTCGTACCAGAAGTAAAAGCAGAGGTGACCAGCTTCAAAAAAGCCCATTCTGAAATAATGGCAATGAAAAACTTTATCCTGGAAATTAAGAACACAGTAACAAGCATTGGAAGTAGGGTCAACCAGGCAGAGGAAAAATTTTATCTCAGAGTTTGAAGACCAAAATATGGAATTAACCCAGTCTGTTAAAAATATAGGGGGAAAAAACCCCTCAAAAAGAAGGAACAAAGCCTCCAAGAGATGTGTGGCTCTATAAAGAAGCCAAATCTACAGCTGATTGGTATTCCTGAAGCAGAAAGGAAAACAGCAAACACCATGAAACAAGCATTCCATGAGATCATTCAAGAATATATCCCACATCTCACAAGAGAGGAGGCTGTCCAAGCAAAGAAATTCAGAGAACTCCCACAAGGTATGATGAAAAGACCATCCCCAAGGCATATAGTAATTTGCCTACACAAAATAAGCATGCAAGAAAAAATCCTAAAGACAATGAGAGAGAAGGGTGAGAATACCTACCAGGGAGAACCCATCAGAATCACTCCTAAATTATCTGTGGAAACATTACAAGCCAAAAGAGACTGGAGTCCAATTTTTATGTTTTTAAGGTTAAGCAATTTTAGCCAAGAATTTTCTTCCCTGCCAAGCTAAGCTTCATCAGTGATGGAGAACTGAAATCATCCCCAGATATTCAATCCCTAAGAGAATATGCCACCTCCAGACTAGCCCTTCAGGAGATGCTTAAGGTATTGAACACACGGGGAAAAAAAGAAAGGTTATATACACCACAAAAATACAGGCAAGCATAGAGTTAACAGAGCACACAGACCATTCACAGAATAAAAATAACACACACATATAAATACAAAAGTAAAAAAGAAACAAAACAACCCTTGAGAGCTTTATGACAGGGATAAACTGTCACATTTCAATAATCAATTTGAACATGAGTGGACTAAATGCATCACTGAAGAGACATAGAGTGGCAAACTGGATAAAGAAGCATGATCCAACAGTCTGCTTCCTTCAGGAAAACTCATCTCACTGCAAAGGGCACACATAGGCTCGAAGTTGGAGACTGGAAAACCATCTCTCAGGTGAATGCAAAACAGAAGAGAGCAGATGTAGTCATTCTGATACCAGACAAATTAGTCTTCAAACCAACAAAAATTAAAAAGGACACAGAAAGACAGTACATAATGATAAAAGGCTCATTCCACCAGCAAGAAATATCCATCCTAAACTTTATACATGCACCCAACACAGGAGCACCTCTTTTTATAAAACTACCAGCAAGTAAGCTAAGAAAGGATATTGACTCTCATGCAATCATGGTTGGAGTACTAAATACCCCATTAACAGCTTTAGATGGGTCACTGAGGAAAAAATCAACAAGGAGATTGGTAGCCTTAACTTGACACTTGATCAACTGGATTTAGAAGACATCTATAAAACACTCCACCCAACACCAACAGAGTATATATTCTACTTATCAGCACATGGAATATACTGCAAGATTGATCACATTCTCAGACATAAATCAAATGTGTTCAAATTTCAAAAGATTGAAATAATATCACGCATCTTCTCAGATCACAGTGGAATGAAAATAAATATTGCTACCAGCAAGATCAGCCCACAATGCACAAGGACATGGACACTAAATAATATGCTGCTAAACACCTTCTGGGTCAACATGGAAATCAAGACAGAAGTAGAAAGATTCCTGGAAACAAAGCAAAACAAAGACACATCAGAATTTCTGGGATGCCATGAAAGCAGTGTTAAGGGGAAAATTCATGCATGCACAGGTCAAGAAAACAGAAAGATCACAAGTAGACAGCCTAATGTCATACCTAGAAACCTCGAAAGGCAAGATCATTTAAATCTGAACTTCAGCAGAAGAATCCAAATCACCAAGATAAAATCTCAGTTGCAGGATATGGAAGACAAAAATACCATAGAAAGGATAAAAAAGACAAAAAGTTCATTACTTGAAAGGATAAATAAGATTGGACCTCTGAGCTGGGTGTGGTGGCTCAAGCCTGTAATCCCAGCACTTTGGGAGGCAGAGGTGAGAGGATTGCCTGAGCCCACAGGTTTGAGACCAGTCTGGGCAACTTGGCAAGACCTCATCTCTACAATAAATTAAAAAAAAAATTAGCCGGGCATGGTAGCGCATGCCTATAGTTCCGGCTACTTGGAAGGCTGAGGCAGAAGGATTGCCTGAACCCAGCGGGTTGGCGCTGGGGTGGCTGTGAGCATGCTACTGTACTCCAGTCTGGGGAACAGAGTGAGACGCCAACTCAAAAAAAAAAAAAAAAAAAAAGATTGGACCTCTACTAGATTGACTAAAAAACAGAGAAAGTCCAAATAAACACAATTAGAAATGAAAAAGGCAAAGTCACAGCAGACCCTGAAGAAACTAAAAAGATTCTCAGAGATTACTATGAACACCTATATGCAAATAAACTGGAATACCTAAAGGAAGTTGAGGACTTTCTGACATCATACAACCTTGCTAGGTTGAAACAAGAAGAAATTGAAATGGTAAACAGACCTATAACAATCTATGAAATCAACTCAGTCATAAGAAATCTCCCCAGGGCAAAATGAGAAACCGCCATCGCATCCAGCGTAGGGGCCCCTGCATCATCTACAATGAGGACAACGACATCATTAAGGCCTTCAGGAACATCCCTGGCATTACTTTGCTTAATGTAAGCAAGCTGAACATCTTGAAGCTTGCTCCTGGTGGGCATGTGGGTCGTTTCTGCATCTGGACTGAAAGTGCTTTCTGGAAGTTGAATGAACTGTACGGCACATGGCGGACAGCTGCTTCCCTCAAGAGCAACTACAACTTTCCCATGCACAAGATGATGAATACAGACCTTAATAGAATCTTGAAAAGCCCAGAGATCCAAAGAGCCCTTCGAGCTCCACACAAGAAGATTCATCGCAGAGTCTTGAAGAAGAACCCACTGAAAAATCTGAGAGTCATGTTGAAGCTAAACCCATATGTAAAGACCAGGCACCGGAACACCATTCTTCACCATGCCAGGAACCACAAGCTCCGGGTGGATAAGGCAGCCGCCAAAGCAGACAAGAAGGGGGTTTCAGGCAAGACACCTGTGGCAGGGAAGACAGGAGAAAAGAAAGCTGTAGTTGGGAAGAAGCAGAAGCCTCTGGTAGGAAAAAAGGCAGCAGCTGCCAAGAAACCAGCTGAAAAGAAGCCAGCAGAAAAGAAACCTACAGAAGAAAAGAAGTCAGCCGCATAAACTTTAAATGTTAATTTCATAAAGAGCTTTAATCATTTTGGACAACTTATCTTGAATAAAGACCTGATCAAAGAGGCATTAAGAGAAAAAAAAAAAAAAGAAATCTCCCCACCAAAAAAAGTCACGGACCAGATGACTTTCCAGCTGAATTTGACAAGGTATACAAGGAGGAACTGATACTAATCTTATTGAAAGTATTCCAGGCACAAGTCCAGGATCAGTGGCTTAGCCTGTAATCCCAGAACTCTGAGATGCCGAGGTGAGTGGATTGCCCGTGGTTTGAGACCAGCCCGGGCAAGTTGGCGAGACCTCACCTCTACAATAAATTAAAAACGAGCTGGGCATGGTAGCGCACACCTGTAGTTCTGGCTCCTTGGACGGCTGGGGTGGAAGGATCACTGGAGTCCAGCGAGTTGACACTGGGGTGGCTGTGAGCCTGCGTGTCACTGTACTCCAGCCTGGGCAATGGAGTGAGACTCCAACTAAAAAAAAAAAAAAAGTATTCTAGGCAATCAAGAGCAATAAAACTTCCCCCAACTCATATTATGAAGCCCAAATCATACTGATACCCAAACTGGCAAAGACCCAACAAGGAAAGAAAATTTCAAGCCAATCTCCTTGATGAAAATAGAATCAAAAATTCTCAAGAAGATTCTAGCAAATTGAATCCAACAACACATCTCAAGAATCATCCACCATGACCATGTGGGCCTCATTCTTGGGTGGCAGAGCTGGTTCAACATTCACAAGACCATAAACACAATTTAGCACATTAACAGATGTAAAACCAAGAACCACATGACTATATCATTAGATGCAGAAAAAGCATTTGACAAAATCCAGCATCCCTTCTTGATAAAAACCCTTGAGCACCTAGGCATAGAAGGAATATTCCTCAAAATGGGAAGAGCCATCTATGATAAACCCAAAGCCAACATTTTGCTCAATGAGCAGAAATTGGAAGCATTCCCCCTAAGAACAGAAACAAGACAAGGATGCTCACTCTCAGCTCTCCTGTTCAACATAGTGCTGGAAGTCCTAGTCAGAGCAATAGGAAAGAGAAGGAAATCAGGGGTATCCAAATAGGAAAAGAGGAAGTTAAGCCATCCCTCTTTGTGGACAATATGATTCTATACCTTGAAAACCCTGTGGAGTCTGTCATAAGCCTCCTTGCACGAGTACTTTGGTAAAGTCTTGGGATACAAAATCAACATGCAAAAGACTATTGCATTTCTCTACATCTGCAACAAGCAGTTAGTAAACCCAAAAAGCACAATCTCATTCACAATAGCCACACACACACAAAAGAAAGAAATATCTTGGCATCCATCTAACCAGAGAAGCGAAAGATCTTTACAATGAGAACAACAAACTGCTGTTCAAAGAAATCAAAGGTGACACAAACAAATGGAAAAACATTTCATGGTCGTGAATCGGAAGAATTGACATTGCTAAGATGCCCATCCTACCCAAGGCAATCTATAGATTCAACGTGATACCCATTAAATTACCAACATAATTTTTCTCAGACTTGGAAACAGCAATACAGAAATTCATATGGAAACAAAAAGAGCACGAATAGCCAACACAATTCTCAGTCAAAGCAATAAAGCAGAAGGTATCACATTTTCAGACTTTAAACTTTATTACAAAGCTACAGTAACCAAACAGCCTGGTATTGGTATAAGAATAGGCACATACACTAGGGAACAGGACAGATTCTGGAAGCAAAAACACAGTCTCTCAACCAACTCAACTTTGACAAAGCCACCAATAGCAATTAAAGGGGAAAGGAGACCATATTTAGCAAATAGTTCTGGAAAAACTTGTTGACCACATTCAGAAGAATGAAACTAGACTCCTATCTATCATCATCTACAAAAATCAACTCAAAAATGCATAAAAGACTTAAAAGTAAAACCACAAACTACAAGAATTTTAGAAGAAAACATAGGAAACACCCTTATGCGCATCAGAACAGGCAACACATTCTTAACTAAGTCCCCAAAAATGAATGCCATAAAAGCTAAGATAAACAGGTAGGACCTTATCAAATTGAAAAGCTTTTGCACAGCAAAAGAAACCATTAAGAGTAAAGAGACAGCCCACAGAATGGGAAAAAATATTTACAAATTATGCATCTGATAATGGCCAGGATCTATAAGGAACTCAAATGAAGTGAAAGAAAAAAACAAACAACCTCATTAAAAATGGGCAAAAGACGTGAACAGGCATTTCTCTAAAGATGACACAGAAGCAGCCAACAGACACAAGAAAAAATGCTCAGCCTCACTAATAATCAGAGAAATGCAAATCAAAACTACAACAAGATACCTCCTATTCCTGGTAAGGATGGCTATAACTAAGAAGTCAAAAAACAACACATGCTGGTGTGGGTGTAGAGAAAAGGGAATGCTTCTGCACTGCTGGTGGGAATGCAAGCTAATTCAATCTCATGGAAAGCTGTATAGCAATTCGTAAAAAACCTAAAAATTGACCTTCCATTTGATTCAGCAATCCCTCTTCTGGGAATATACCTGGAGGAACACAAATCACCTGCACATGCATATTCATTGCCACACTATTCACAAAAACATGGAACCAAGTCTACCGCCCATCAAAAGTGGCCTTGATAAAGAAAATGTGGTACATATACATGATGGAGTATTACACAGCCACAAAGAAGAACAAAATCATGGACTTTGCAGCAAATTGGATGGAGTTGGAGACC